GGGGCGGAACCTAGCTCAATTGCGCCGCCACGCCACTCCACGCCACGCCAAACTACTCCGCTCCACGCAACGCCGCTCGGCCGCCTCGTTATTTACATGGCATTTAGTTGGCGCGCGCGGACCGAACATTCGTTTGATAAACTTTAATCAAAGCACGGTGATGACACCCAGAATTTTGACAGTTCATTAGCACTTCAATGACTACATGACGCTGCCCGTTTATTAGGAGGCTGATTTAGCCCATTTGAGGATTCATTACAGAAAGAGGCCCGGCGTTTGGGCCCATCAAAGCGCTGATGGCACAACACAGTTTGCGGGTCATTATCATTCTTGCTTGAGGATTTTATGATTTTTTAATCGAATTATTCGCTTACATTTTGGTTTCAATTTGCACAATGATGCCTCTAAATGCATTAGGGCCAGATTTCCTTTCTGAATTCCGCGCTCGGCTGGGAAGTCAATTACACGTTTTTCACGGGATGCCGCTAGTCGACATTTTGTTTCACCGCATCAATGAATAACTAAAATAATGCAAGTGAGATTTGTTTATCAAATGTTTTCAAGCACGCTGGTCGATATTTGTAACTGAAAAGTATGTTTAAAGAAGAGCCGCTGCAATGAAACCCCACGCAAGGCTTTTCGTTACGACGCACATATCGCCCTGTGGTTGAGAGAGGCACTTAACAGTGAAAAATGTCGGCCATTGTAGTACTCGCTCCCACAATTATTTCCAGAAAATAAGCTTAGCTTTGTGGTGTTTCTTATGATGTATTAGTAAGAAGCTGAAGTACTGAGGCATGGCAAAGAAGAGAGAAATATCCTGGTAATTTAAGTTTTCTCCTTAAATGTGATGCAAAAAAGAGTTTACCGAGATGAAAGCGCTGCAGCCAATGGGGATGCTATTTAGCCCAACTCATAACTGAGAAAATTAAACGCGAAGAATTCATGTGGATTCTGCGAAAGCTATTTTGAGATATGTTTCACAATGCTCTTTGTACGCGGTTTATACATACGGAGTTTTTTTTACCATATTTGTCATCTTCATTGTCCTCTGTGTAATGAGAATTAAATATTGAAAACGGAATGAGAAAAATATACACAGATAACGATATCGGCTATTTATATTCATTTAAGCAATAAAATTTATAAATTCGTGAATAATTATATTTTTGGGGATGAATATGAACGAATTTTTGTGATTCAAAAATGTAATTGGCATTTACTGCAAATGTCAAAACTACACGGATCCGAAATATGATCTATTACAAGAAATATCTTTCAACAAATACAGAGATTGATTCAACATTCAGTTTAATTAAAGGCTCCACTGTCAAAAATATGTTTGTCACCCTCTCGTGCTCTTGTCTTGTCCACTTTCCTGTCCAGCACACAGATGAGCGTGTGCGAACATGTATGTATTATGTTTGCTGTACTAGTACGTACACGTATATTGTTCAATCTTTTCCTCCCCTCTCTTCTTCTCTCTTACAATCATCCTCTCTCCTTCAATCACTCTCTCTCCTCCCCTCTTTCAATCACTCTCTCTCCTCCCCTCTTTCAATCACTCTCTCCTCCCCTCTTTCAATCACTCTCTCCTCCCCTCCTTCAATCACTCTCTCCTCCCCTCCTTCAATCACTCTCTCCTCCCCTCCTTCAATCACTCTCTCCTCTCTTTCAATGCCCTCCCTCTCCTCCTCTCTTGCAATCCCTCTCTCTCCTTCTCTCTTAGAATCCCTCTCTCTCCTCCTCTCTTACAATCCCTCTCTCTTTCTCTTTTACTCTCTCTTTGTCCCTTACAGCCACCGTCTCTTTCCCTCTCACAATTTCTTATTTTGAGATGTGTTGTGTACATGTGATTTTGTTTTCCAGTTTTTGGATTACCTTCCTCTTTACCGTGCGTTATAGTTCCTGTGTTTTCGTTTCGTTTGGGTGTGGCATTGCTACACGCACTTGCCGCGAAGCCGGCTCGAGGCGCAGCGGGGGGCGCAGCTCTGCGTCGGGCAGCGCAGCGAGCGGCCGGCGTCGCCCAGGCCTCCGCCCGCTTCGTACCTGCGGGCGGGACGAGGCCGCAGCTTTATCGTTGCAACTCGAACGCCATTAGCATAACGGGCCCGGCGCGCTGCCTGCGCCACAAATTAAGAGCGCGCACATTGCGGAGCTGTCGGCTGATGCGGCGCGGCTCGCGCTCACCGCCGCTCGGACCCGCCCTCCCGACCCTCCACCCCCCCCTGCGCGGCACAACCTCGCACGTGGCACGGCCCCGCGCCACCCGCCCCGCCCTGCGTTACCGTCACCGCCGCCCCGATGCCTCGCCTCCATCCCGCCCCGCCCCGCCCGCGCAGCCACCGCTCTGCGCACGCCCACGTAGCCCTGCTTTAGCCGCGTCAACCGCCCCGCCTGGCGCCACCCCACCCTCTCCGCCTCCGCCGCGCGCCCACTGCGCGACCCCGCGCCGCCCCGCGCGCCCCGCCGCCCCCGCCCGCGCACTTCCCCGCCGCCTGCGCCACCATCCCTCTCCGCTCCGCCCGCGTCCCGTCGCCGCGTCCGACCTGCCTGCCCCGCCCGCAGGAAAGTGCGCGTCGGCCCGGTGAACAGGTAGTGGTGGAAAGGAAGAGGGGAGAGGGGCGTCGTGCCGGAAAAACGCAACGCGCCGGGTTCGCCTGCTTGGGCTGTTGCCTGAGGCTTCCAGCGCACCGGCGCCAGAAAACGCCCTTCTTAGACGCACTCACCCCGTGAACAACCACTCCAAGATAAACACTAGGTGTGCTTTATAATAGAACGCTTTCACTATAATAGTTCCCTAAAAACAGCCAGTGCAAGATTCTCCATCTAGAAGGAGGCAACTACACATTTATACACAAATCAGTTAAACAAATTGCCTCAGAGTTACCTAAACTGAATCACATGTGGTGAAGTTAATTTCTAAAACTAAAAGTGCTCATTATAAATTAATATTCATACCGATTGATATTCATTAGTATTCGAATAAACAGTAGCCCAAGAGATAAGTCAAAATCCTGCGAACATTGAAATTCAATTTTAATAATTCTTAACACTTTCGCAATCACATAATTTAATCAATAATAATTATTAGGCAACGTCCTCGTAATTTCTAAGAATATTTCAGTTTATACTCGCTTTTTCAAATGTTTGATTCCTTTAACTAAGTTACGACATTAGGGTGACGGGGCAGGAAGTGCAAACCTTAGTCCGCGTATTCAACCATGTGGGGCAAGGCAGCGACGGGACCGTTGAGTTTGAGGGTTGTGTGCAGCAGAAAGGGATTTCTCTCCTGAGCAGAGGAACTGGGAAGTTGAAAGCTTCCGAAAGAGGCGGCCGGGGCCGGAAACGTGTCTCCGTCTGGCGGCCGCGCTCGCGCGAACACGGACACTGAGCGGCGGCTGTCGATCGATGGCTGGGTCGCTTCTAACCCACATTTTCATAATATAGCACTTATTTTAAATGCAAATCGTTACGTGACCAATGCGCATACATTGGCGGCCGGCTCGCCGCGTGCGCAGAGATCCGACGTGGGGGATTTCGCGGACCTGGGGAATTCGCGGGGTCGCGGAGGCGGGGACTGGGGCCACTCGGGCGCTCCGCTACGGATGGTCAACGAGGCCAGAGCATGAGGTTGGGGGGAGAGGGCTGCGGCCTCAGTGGCCACAGAGAACGGAGAGGGGACAGCGGGGGTAGGGTTGTAGGTGCAGGCGGAAGAGTGGGCAATGGCCGTGGTGCGGGCTGTGGGGAATGGGGTCGGGAAGTCGAGCGAGCCTCTGGCGGGCGAGAGAGTGGGCGAGAAGAGGGCGAAGAGAGGGCGAAGAGGCGAGAGAGGGCGAGAGAGGGCGAGAGAGGGCGAGAGAGGGCGAGAGAGGGCGAAGAGCGGCGAGAGAGGGCGAGAGAAAGGACGAGAGAGGGCCGAGATAAGGGCGAGAGAGAGAGCGAGAGAGAGCGAGAGAGGGCGAGAGAGAGAACGAGAGAGGGCGAGAGAGGGCGAGAGCGAGGGCGAGGGCGAGGGCGAGGGCCGACGGGCGAGGGCGGGGCGAGGGCGAGGGCGAGGGCGAGGGCGAGGGCGAGGGCGAGGGCGAGGGCGAACGAGCGAGAGCGAGAGCGAGCGAGAGCCGGGGTTTGGGATGACGAAGGGGTGCAGCCAGCTGAAATCGCAGTCGTCCAAGCAGAGCTCCGCAAACCTCGTTGGCGACGCGCGCGCGGCCCTGCCCATCGGTTCGCGCTCCTTTTCCACACAGATCAATTATTTACGCTTTTCATTATTAAGCGACGTCATCAGCATTAGGCTTTTGGGAGAGAACACCGGTTGCCTGTATGGTTGGGTTGTTGCCTGGCAGTCACTGCGTTTGTATACAGGATCTCCGAAGTTATTTGTGATATTTACGCTAACACGGTAACAGGATTTTATTAGTAAGACCAGGAAGAGAACAATCTAAACATATCCACATTTCATAATTTTACAGAGGGCTTATTCTTTCTGCTTTAACCCGAGCAATTCTCATTAGTGGGTGTAGCCATTTAAAGCTATAGTCAGCTAGGAAGAACACTAGCTACCGCGCAAGACATTTCAGTCATCGAACAGTCCTAGCGATAGCCGAAACCGCGTGTGCACGAGCGCAACCAGAGGCAACAACAAATGGAAATATTTAGCGTATTAACTCGTCCAGAGGCTACAGCCCACGGAAATATTTAGCGTATTAACTCGTCTAGAGGCTACAACCCACGGAAATATTTTGCGAATAAAATCGTCCAGAGGCTACAACCCACGGAAATATTTTGCCTATCAACTCGTTCACAACAGTCAAAGGGTTAGATTACATCGTTTATTGAGATAGCATTAATTTCAGCAATTCATCTCGGACTTGACAGTTCTGCAGGTGTACTAAACTTGTCAACTACTTGAAGTTAGCTATGACATCAGAGATGACACTAAATCGTGACCAGTTTGTCAAACACGCTCTAACTAGTCTACAACAAAAAACATACCAGGTAAATAAAGTACTAAAAGAACGAACGGGGAGTATTCTTATGTTTGTGTCAATCAAGAGATAATATACTAGGTGCAGTTAGCTTTTCTATGATAGTACAAAACTCACGTCGTTTTCTAGTTTACTTGCAAATTAGGTCGAATACCTTGCATTAAGCGAGTGTCCAACAGTACGAGTGTCCAACATTGAATAAAACGAGTGTTCACCAGTGTTTCTACTTCACCTTCGCATCATTACATATTGTGATCACACACTGTTAGCGGGCAATTCACATAATGTTTATTACCTAACGCGTTTCTATAATTCGCTACAAATATTCGTCGCCTCCCCCCCCCGCGGACGCAGATATACCTCTTCATTGAATTATTGGTCTCTTTGACATAAACATACACGAACATTGGCGCGTTATTGAATATTCGCAGTTATCTAACTGCCATTACGCGTGCTTTCATCATATTCTCACTATTTAAGGTTTCGTTTCACCTTCACCGCAACCAGCCTCAGAGACACCAATTTCGAGACCACGTTCACGAAGAAGCACCAGCACTATTCACGGAGGAAAGTGGCACATCTTTCCTGCGCGCCCGCTCTTCCGCTCTCTTTTTATCTCCTCCCGAGACGTCGCGTCGCCCGGGCGCTGCGCGCGCCCCGTCGCCTCCCGCGCCCACGCAGGTCCTTTTGGACGACGCGACATGAGCGCCGGGGCTGAGTGGGGGCGGGGGAGAAGGGGGCGTGGCTTTTAACTGAGGGCGCGGGCGCCATTGAGGGTGGATGGGGCGATGCTACACGAGGCGCTCGGCGAGGGAAAACCTCCACCTGCGGGCGCCGCCACCG